CCTCCCCCCCTTCCTCCTCCCGGCCTGCCTCATCCCTCTGAATGGCATGAGAAGACTACTGCGGGGTGTGTTGCTCACGCAGCTGGGAGTAGGAGTCTCCAACCGCACCAAACCCAGAAGCACAGCAGCAGGCCAAAAAATAAAAATCGAGTTTCAGTTAAAATTTTGCCACTTACTAAAAGTTACAACTGTATCGACTCGGCTAATTGGTACAATTTTATTTTAAATTGTAAGATGAAACACACTTTATAAGAGTAGTTTCAAAACTGTACAAGACTAAACTGATAAATTGTGCAACTGGCATGCACATAGTGTTGGACTGTAAATTTGGATACTTTAAAGAGTTCACCAGTAAATTTGATCACTTGACAGTGTCCAAAGACGAATGGAAAAGTCCAGAGTTTCACACTTTTAAGTGCTCAACTTTTCTGTTCAACACTTTTTAGTATTCAAATATCTAGTAAAACACCTAAAAGTGTAGTGCAACGTAGTGTTGAGCTCTTGCATGTGCACGCCATTTGCACACTTTATTTTTCAGTGTAAAGTACATCGAAAATTTTCGGCAATAATGGCTGTGGCAAGTTGCCCTTTTTGCAGTGTATTCACTGAAAACCTTTGAGTGAGGTGCCTTTCTCGAAATGAGTGAGACAATTTTTCCTCGCTCAATCAGAACGATGACTATAGGGCTCACCCTATTTGAGTCATATGCACCGAATTCTCACTCTGACGGAGTAAGATTCCCTGACCTCGCCCAATTGCAGCGAGGAACATCACTCTCATAGGGTGAGGACCTACAAATTATGACTCAAATTGAGTGATAGTCAGATATATCGCTTTTAGGAGAGAAAGATTTTTGGGGTCACCATCTCGCTCTCCTGAGAGTAAAGATATCTGACTGTAGCATTTTCAGTGTGTTCCCAGTTTCATGTCGCTTTTGGCGTCTCTCATATATACTGAGTGACATTGGGACTGAGAGAGCAGTAGAGCGGTAAGCTGCTCTCCCTGCTCCTCCGCAGTACGACGCTGTCGCGCTACCCCCAGTCTGATAAAGCTCTCGCTTCAGCCCGCTTCAGCCCGTGCAGCAGCAGACTCTCACTCCGCCCCAATCTCAATAATTACCTTATACCGTTTGTCGCGAGCGTTGCTGCAGCATCGGCAGTACATTTCCTTCGAGTCACCAATATTCCGAGCACTTTCAACTTGACCCACTTCTCTCTCTCTCGCTCTCTCTCTCTCTCTCTCTCTCTCTCTCTCTCTCTCTCTCGCTCGCTCTCCTCCCTTTCTCCCTCTCTCTCGCTCTCTCTCTCTCTCTCTTTCTCTCTCTCTCACCCACACATTCTCTCTCTCTCGTCCGCATTGGACACCATACCCGCTGAGGAAGATTAACATATGATCGTACAATAGCTTCAGGTGATGATGGTCCGATAAGAAGAATTCAATTTAAGGAAAGCGAACCCAGCAAAACTGCACAGTTTGTTTGTTTGTAATTTTTTTTTTTAATTTTCGCACTCCTGGAGATTACTTTTAGTCCAACCGCGTCCTGGACCGCTCTTTGCTCTTTGTATTATTCGCCCTCGACTCGAAAAAGGAAAAGGTTTGAGAGAAAGGTGGAGGGGGGGGGGGGGTTCCCTACGCGTGCTCGGGCCATCACGAGGCCCTGAGCGAGGCTATTCCGTGCGGGGGACTTCCCTCCGCAGTTGCCTCGGGAGGGCAAATT